ACTGACCCCTGTGGAACCCCGCAGTGCATTGGCCTTCTGCTTATACGCTCCAGTTGATCTTGATACTGGAGAGTCCTGCCGCGGAAGTAGTCCCAGACCACGTCCCTTAAATATTGGGGGAGGCCATGGTGTTCCATGGCCATTCCCACCCAGTCCCAGGGGAGGGAGTTAAACGCGTTGACAATATTTAAGGACACTGCCAGTGCCACCTCTCCTTCCCCTACAATTTGGTCCGAGAGGGCCCTCAGGTGCAAGATTGCATCTGTGGTAGAGCGACCCTCCCGGAATCCAAACTGCTCTTCACTAAGGTCGGGACCGTGACGCCCCATACCTGCCATATACTACTAGCAGGTAATTTATGTCGTATATATCCTTATTATTAGCTGCTGGTTTTAGTTCTATATGGAACATAGGTAAAAGTTTTTTTGTACTTTTTTTTCCATATATTCACGACTATATGCCCTTTACCATTAATTTCTTTTTTTATATTATCTATATTAGCAGAGGAATGCATATTTTTTAGTATAACTTTGAAATTTCTGTCCTGCTATAATTTATAAGTATGGAATTCAATATTCCTTGTTTTCAGCTCTTTGATTATTGTTGAACACCTCTCCGGTGTTTTAGGTTGTATTTTTACTTACGAGTCATTAATAACTTTAATTTCATATTCGCGTTTAGCAATACTCTCGAGTAACAATATGAGCGGTGTGATGTTTGCAACACCAGCCACAAACATGGGTGGGGGTTTTGGTGTCTGGTGATAAGTCTTCTTGCACGTCCTGTTCTAAATTCCCGTATCTGTTGGACAAGGGGATGGGAGAGCTGAGCCAATTCGTTTCAGTATCTTCAAGCTTTTATCTTTAGAGCTGTTATAAGTTCTCTTGTGCTCATTAACTCTTTTCCATATTTCCCGATTTTTGTTTATGTTTGTACTTGTGTTTATATTTCCGTTTATGTTTGGGTCCTTATTTGGATTTTGCTCGTCGTTAAGAGACCTCTGATAATAGAAGGCATCGCCTGTAGAGTTAGATCTAGCCCTACTTTGAAAATATTTAGCGGATAAGGTTTGCTGTAAAAAAATTTTACTGCTGCCCTGCTTTTTGTGCTTTGCATCAAAGCCGTGTGGTCTACTGCCATCTTCAGCCAATGTTCCTTGTAGTGCATCTTTTCCTCTTAGCGGATCCTTAACAAGCAGCGGTTGCCCCCCCCCAGAATTCTTGGGGCCAGCCTCCGTAGAGGGTGGATTTTCCAGGATAAGTCCTGGGCTGCCACCTGGGGTAATCACTTCCGTTATCGTTTTATCCATTGCTCAAAGTGTCCCGGAGGATCGTGTTTTCTGTCAGGGTTGTCTCCTTTAGCTGACTGGACCCGATTTTTCGGCGTCACGTATCCGCCTTTTTGCCCTTGCATAACTTAGCGTTATCCAAGGAGCATGACGAGGACATGCATACATCGGATTAAGTAGGAATAAATGGCATTTCTCAGTTTTTAATAGGGCTCCCCCGTCAGCAGAGAGTGCACTCCCGAGATCACATACTACCCCTTGGCCCCCTTATTTATGGAAATAAAAATTATTTAGCAAGAACAATTGTAATGACGATTTGGCAGAAGGTACAATCTTGGCATATTTTTTATTATATACATATGCTTACTTATATTTTATTATATATTTAACAGTTATTTTGATTTTATGTTATGGTTGTACCAGTGCCGGATTTAAAGAAGTGGGGGCCCTTAATTTGTAAGAGATCAAAATAATTGAAAACTCATTTAAATAGATCATGAATCCTCAAGCGATTAATTTAACTAAATCGCATCAAATGAACCTTATCCAGCTAATAGAGAACTGCTCAGCTGACCACAGATCTTTTAATTTTCGACTCACTCGATGTTTAATTTCGCTATATCAATAACTGGCAGAAATTACACAAAGATTTAAAATTTTATCGCAATAATAAGTCAGTGGGCCAAAAAAAGAAAACAATATTTATGACATTTGCATATATTTATTTAAACATTCTTATAAGTTACATAATTGCACGTTAATGGATTAAAATATTTCGTGTCTTACAACTTGCAAAATCGTCGATAAGATTTTCAAAATCTAGCTAGTGCAAAATATCGTATTCAATGTTCAAGAGTACTAAATTATTCAATCTGCACTGCGTCATTGTTGTACAGAGACAATTTTTTATAAATTTTTCGAAAAGGAACGCTCTCCAGTGCAATTGCTGACCATCAATACAAGATACATTCGTAGAACTATCTCGACATTGGGAAATGCATCTTTCACATCTTTTTCCACTAATAATCGATATAAATATTCCTTGTAAATTGTTTTTTTATCCCTCTCTTTTTCGTACTCTTTGCTGAACTTCACGAATTGAACAAGTTCCATTTCAAGACAATGATCCAAATCATTATGATAAATATCTGCAAGTTCTCTGGCTTTAGTTTGAATTTCTGAAGGGGAGAGAGATAACAGTTCCTTTAAAAATCCAAAACGCGAACATACGGTTTTGTATGCTGAGAGTCGTTGTTTTAAAGAAACTAGAAATTGATCGATAACTGGTATAAAATTTTGAACACGAAATTTTTGATCAGGCGAAAGTTGAACTTCTGGTGTTCTACCATAATCGAGCGGATTGAGGCACATGTTGAAAGTGCGTTGTCGAGTTTGGACATATGTTGATGACCCTGACAGCTGGACCCCTGTTGCTTATATTGCTTGAAACACTCATGTTTAGATTCAATAAAACTGACTAAAGACTTAATACATGCAACTGCAGTACTGATGTCTAGTTGAGGTTTTTGTAATATTTTGTTAGTTGCGTTGAGTCGATTCAGAAGCTCATACCAAAAGACGAAAGATATTCCGATCTCTAGCTTGCTCATTCTTTCATACAAAGCATTTGCTTCATAACGAACTTTTGAAACTTGTTCATCAGCAATCTTCGCCAGTGTATCTCTGATTTTCGAGTATCCGCTAACAAGAGCTTTCACTGCATCGACTCTACACGACCAACGTGTCGTTGTTACTCTTTTTGGAATGTTACATCTTTGGTTGACTTTAAAGCCTGAATCAGTAGGTCGTAGCGACTCGACGAAGCTGTGAAGAAAACGTAAATTTTTTCAAGAAAATCGAAGAAATCTATTGCATCGGGACAACACTCAGCAGCTGCTAATCCTACAAGATTCAGTGAGTGTCCTGCACGGGATCCATAGAGCTAAATTATTTACAGCTGCAATCTTAGCTTGTAGGCTGTTAAATTTTCCGCTCATTGCCAATGCATTGTTGTAAGTTTAACCTCGACAATTTTTCACGTCGATTTCATGATCTTCCAAGAATCGCATCACGCAGTTAAACATGTCCTGAGCTTTATGACCTTGATTAGGCATGAACTTAACAAATCTTTCAACCGGTTTTACATTTTCTATGTAGCGAAAAATCAAAGTCAATTGATCGACGTGACTTTTATCACTTGTAGAATCAAGAGAAATCGAGTAATATCTTAATTTTTTAATGCGTAGGACAATTTCTTGAAAAACTCGATCGCTCAGAAGTTGTATAAACTCCTCACAAATCGTTGAGGATAAATAATTTGTGTGGCCGCTACCTTGATTGCCATGAACTTGAATATGATGTTTAAGAAAATCATCGTATTCAGCGATGAGTTCTAATAAACCTAGATAATTTTCATTACCACTTAATCCAAGCAATTTATTATCCCCACGAAATGCTAAGCCTCGTTTGTATAAGAATTTTATTATGCTGAGAATGCGTTTTAATATACTACGCCAGTATTTTGACAATTTCTCTGCTTGCTTCATAAGTTCTACATCAATGCGGCTGGCCTGGTTCATGAGTTGTGCGTCACTATAGCATTAACATGTTCTTTGGATGTTTCATGATCTTTGAGTCAACTGCTATCATGTTTCCAGTCACAGTAACCCTCATGGGTAAACTGTGTGGGAGTTGCACCCATAAATTTGCATACAAAGGAATAGACTTTCCCATTAGCAGGAGAAAAACACAACCATGATCGTTTCACAACTTCTCCATTATGAGACCTTCGTTCAAACATGCTGACATGACATCGGCGAACATAACCATCGGGTTCTTTTTGTTGGACTGATTTCAATTTTAATAACTCTTTATTGCAATGCTGCAGTTCAGCGCAACCTTTTTTGACCCAAAACTCAGTCATGTTTTTTGGTAAACAATCAGGCCATAAATTAATATCGTTGACTACAGAGTTCGAACTTGATCTGAAACTGTGTGAGCTTTCTCGGACGCGGTATAGCTCGCCGGAATCCAAGTTCGTTCGGTTGGGGGTACGTTAAAAGAGAATGCACGTGTATGTTGATAATAAATAAGAAGTGTGTTTTATTAAAACGAGTCTGATGACTGTGTGTACATGCGATGTATGATTGCGGTCAATGTACTTGGCGTAGGTTGTATAAATGCGATGTATGATTGCGATAAATGTACTTCGTGAAATTCGTATAAATGCGATGTATAATTGCGATGCGAGAAAAGTATAAAAATACGGCGAAATAAGTATAAAAGCAACGGCGAAGTATGATAGGTTTTGACGTGAGGCGTCTTAGTGCGATCGGCGGAATAATCGGCGCAAGCGCCGTGTGATCGAGTCGTAACAGTTGGCTCACGGCGGAGCGCCTAGCGGTGAGTGCGTTTGTAGAATGTCGCGAGTCCGTTCGATGATAGATCGATACGGACTGCTCGGCGGCGCGGATTGGTCGACGCGATTTTGCCTGCCGGAAGGATTACGATTTGAAGTCCCGGCAAAGAAACGCGATATTTGGATCAGGAAGCCGAGTACGCTCGGCGGGAGTACGAGAACGCTCGTACGAAGGCGGACTCAGAGCGGCAATCCGGCTAGGTACACGGGAATGCCCGCTGCACGAAGATCGGTGCCTAGAGGAGCCGAGTACGCTCGACGGATATACGAGAACATTCGTATGCTGAGGCGAGAATACCGAGAACGCTCAGCGGTACGCGAGAACGCTCGTGTGCTGGAAAAAGGCATAGAAGCCGAGTACGCTCGGCGGACTACGAGGACGCTCGTAGAGAGATGTTCGCTGTCTAGCAGCGAACAGGATCTGGTGGAAAGGCGTACAGCCGAGCCTCTTTTATACCCGGCTGGCGGCCGACTGACTTCGGATCGGCAAGCATCGGCGGTTTCGGCGGCGGGCCCCCACTAACGGAATCTATTCGGAACTATTCGGAACGGTCGGATGTGGGGGTCCGTTCGGCAATTGACCGCCGTTGTTTTCGATAAAGTTTATCGGCGCTCGATGCGCCCTTGATGAGCTACGGACGATGGACGGTCCGTAGCCGTAACGATGCAGCTTGCGGGCTGCACCGTTACAGATCCTATAATTGGCGTGACCATTTTTTCATTTCTAACTTCAGCAGTAGCATGATTTCCTTAGAATTCAACAAACATGTGTCACTAGAAGATGATGGTTCAATATCTTCTGGGATTTTGCACGGTTTCTCACTCATAGTTAAAAATTCCTTCAAACATCTTGTTTTTGCTATTACTTCCTTTTCTCGTGTAGTTCGTTCTTTAACTAACTTCCGTTTTTGGGCGCCACTCAGATATATACGGGGAGCCTTATGTCGATCTGCTCTATTACTCATTTTTGATGCTACGAAAAAAAGCAATACAAAGAGCATTAAATACAATAACAAAAAGTACGACGAATATAAGTCAGCTAATCACATTGTAATCACCTTTATTTACTGCAAATAAATTTTTTATTTTTGTAAGAAGATGCTGATAATATCTTAAATATGAATATATTTAATTAATATAATTGATATATGAATATACCAAAGTGATTTACTGTACATTAAATACCATATCTTAAAATTAAGGGCTAACATGGGACGTAAAAATGACGAAATTTTTTATTTTGAAGGACAACAATTTTATGAGAGAAAATTTTATTCCGTAACAAGTGGCAGAATTTAAGTAAAGCATATTTTTAGTAACATATTTAACTTACCTACATCCAAGATGTTTGTTGATGTAGCACGTTTACTATTCAAAATCTGGAAAAAGTATGACAATTGCAAACCCGCGGATGGGCACTGGGCAGCTTTTGGCAGACGTTAGAGCTTGTTACGTTGTTCAATTTTTTTCTCGCGCCTTCACATTTCTTATTTTCTAGCTAACTTTTCGAGACAGAACAATGAATGAAAATGAAATGAGTGAGTGAAATGATGAAATGAATGAGAATGAAATTGAATATCCAATCTCGTATCCAATCATTTGAAAATATATTACCGATTCAGATTTTAACTGAAGAGTCATGCAAAATTTTATAAACATTTAAGAAATATTTTCGTAAATTTAATAAAGTTGAATATTATATTTCAATATTATTGCAATAAATATTTAAGATATAATTAATGATGCAAACTACAATGTTTGCAAAATTCTGGCATCCAAAATCCCCATTGCGGTTACCACCCGGAAAGCAATGACATATATTTAAGAAATATTTGATACATTTCCAAACAATATATCAAATATAAATATATAGATTTTTTTAACCAAATTTTCTTTTTAATCAAGTTTTGTTTGTGAGGGCCCCCAATTTGTGCAGGCCCCTGGGCGGTCGCCCTGTCTGCCCTCCCTCAAATCCGGCACTGGGTTGTACCGAACCTAGTCAATTTATATTGTAAATTGTGCAATTATAGTATAAGACTTGTTGTGCCCTTGGTGGTAGGGCACGGGTTCGGGATCTGCCGAAGGAGTCAGACCGGGAATCCGGGAATAGTAGTCACAACTAGAGTGTTTTTTTAATAAACGCAGCGTCGTATATTTCTCACTTGTCTTATTATTTTACAAGTTCTCTTATGTAAACTAAGTTCCGTTTCAGAAATCTCCTTTTCTTGGCTCAGTTTTACGGAACCTCAGGTTACGCGTATTCTTTTAGCAAGATTAGTTACGATCCGTGATCTTTTAAATTTGTTGTCCCGGCGGACATACGTCCGTTTCATTTGATAGTTAATTTTCGACTCGCCATCGTGGTCTCGCGACAGCGATTTTATAATCGCGAAACTGCAATTGATTGCAGTTTTGAAGGTCTTTCGATCGAACATGCTGACGGATTTCTGGTAGCTTGTCAGCGTTCTTGCATTAGATATGAATCAGGTTTTAATTTACGCTGCACGATTCTCCGGTGACTCGTACGAGCCGGAAATGCACTGAATCGTCAACGTTTTTATAATATATAGTATTATATAATATATTTATAAAATTATTTTATTAAATAAAAATTGGTTGTGGTTCTCTGGACTCACAACAGACTGACTGATTTTATTTAATAAAATTTATTTGCAAATCTTTTGACACATCTTTTTCTTACATTACATTAATTATATTATACTATACCATAATTATTATACTAATGTACAATACTATATCTATAAATCATTATTGAGCACCTTATCCCATTGCCATGACAATGCGCCAATTCCATTGAAAAAGTTTGCAAAATCTTCTCTAATTTTTTTCAACTACAGCAGGATTTGAAGAGTGATTTCTTGGTAGATCTTTTAACCTTTAGATATTACTGTACAATCTTGTACAGTGAAATTTGAATATTGTATTTGTGTTATATCTAAATCCCTTTTGGTAGACATTACATAATTATGTAAAGTAGTTGTTGCCTGAATAATCTCTCGAGCTGTGGACACAGAAGCAATTATCGGTTTTCCATATATACTTTGTGACGTGACATTTTGCTGTCCGTCACAAGGGCAAATAAACCCGGTCAAGGAGGGAAATTTGAGGTCGTAAACCCCACCGCGGAGGGGCCACGACCTTTCCCTTTTATTTTATAAGTTCTCTAGAGATTTCGCGGATCGGAGTGAGTGGCCAAAAACACACGTTTGTACATGATGAGGAGCAGCCTTCGTGGGACCGACGGGGGACTCTGCAGACGGGACGACGGGGGTCCGGACATCGCGTGGACAGATTCCCGCAATAAGGTCACGTAAGAATACTCCATCTTATTCAATTAGACTTCAACTAATGTCGCTACCGAGAATAACATTTCAGATACGGAACATATCGAGGCCGGTGGACGCACCGAGAGAAATGACGCCCGAGCGGAAAGCGCGCTCTCACACGCCCAAAGATCTGGGATGGAGTACCAAGATTACCGGAGCTGTCGTAACGAGCCGGGAGAAAAGAATCAGGTCGGAACCTGTTCAATTCCCGACCGATTCAGCATACGGTCCGGATCCAGAAACGGAAAAGGCCGCAATGCCCTATCTACACCGAAGGATGATCCTGCTTGTGGCTCATTCGAGCGAGTAATGTAGACGCATTGAAACACATTGAAAATCATACTGAAGACGAAAGTGATCGGATGAGCCACAAGCAGGATCATCCTTCGGTGTAGATAGGGCACAAAAGACGTTCGAAGCAGCTGCCATAAAAGAGACCGGAGTCACCTCGGAAAAGCGCCACCGAGGGCAGATATATCGAGGAGCGACGTGAGGATCGAGATTCGCTAATCGACACCAAAGGATCAAGGATCGCTAATCGATAGCGAGGATCTACATGCGCAAGGCGATGCGCGGACTGTCACCGCTGTCCGGTGAGCCTTATTGTCGTCACTGTTCGGCGAGTCGGCGATCTGAGCGGAACCTTGAGGACCACTGCGGGCGTACCGGAACATTGTAAGGCCACCACTTCGACTTCGCGGTAAGAGCGATAACAGTGTGCGGCCCGAACCTCGTAACGATTAGAGTTCGTGTAATTTACACCCGAGATACCTTATGTATCGAGCCGTCGCACGACAAAGTCGTGAGGTTATAATTTGGCCGGGCACCGCTGACTGCCGTTATCTAAATTCTGCCACGCTCTTCCCCTCGGGGCTGCCGAGCTGACAGTCGCTCTTTCGCGTTTCGTAATGTAATTTTGTGTAGCATATTCGCGTCTATAATTGTTTTCGGCGTACCGCATATGTGTTGATTATTGATATGATTATGTCGCGCCTTTATTACTGTATTCTCTGAGATCATGCCTCGGTCTTTTACCGAAAGCGTTAATTATGTAACATTATCACCGATATCTAGAAAGGCGCAAGAGTAAGAGTATAATAAGTTGTAAAGATCTTAATCGACGATTACCGCAAGGATAGATCATACGTTATATACCGACTAAATACCGTTATATGAGACTAAATTGCGCGGCTTTCGCGAACCGAACATCCGAAAAAATATAAAGCCTCTCACCGGTACGAATTGTATCTCCGCACAGCGAATCCTTTTAAAGCATACAATATCCTATGTCACCCTATTAATAATTTCATTGTTACAAATACATGTTTCTTGTTATTTAATTTCATGTGTTTTCTCTTGTAGCCTTAATTCTGACTCCTCTCTCCAGGTCTTTTAGAAATCTCTAAAGAACTCCGTCCCTCTGCCATTTGGTGTGCGGGCTAGTCGAGCTTATCGCCGTTGCTGTATATTAACGAAATATCTGTTCTGGCTTATTATTTGTGCGGCGCGTCAATCCGCGCCTGGTGCCCAATTATATATTATCGCGTGATTAAGAGTGAATACCTAGAGCAACGAAGTTTTGCATGCCTCCCGGGTTTTGTGCTTTTATCTTGACGGAAAAAGTGTCGCAACTTCATCGAGCAGCGAGTATTCTAAATGCGCATTCTATTGATCGTCTAACGCAGCTTAATCTATTGTTATATCCGTGTCGGTGTTGTGTTTGTCAGCTGATGAACCGATATTATTGATAGTCATTCTGACAGAAGAAAGGCTGTTGTATAAATAAAAGCGGATATACGAGGGTAGTTCGAAAAGTTCTCGGTCTGACACAGAAATGACGTTAGAAGTATCAAACTGCTGTAATTTTTTGCAAGTTTTATCTTGCAGAAGGTTACTGTCAAAATTACAGACATATGCGTTCATTAGTTTCTTTATTTTGGTCGTGTAAAGCAATCAACTTTTGTTTTTTTTTTAAATGAATAAAGTCGAATATCGCGCAGTGATAAAATACTTCGTTTTAAAAGGTTTAACAACAGAAATAAAAAACGAGCTTGATTCAACTTTAGGAGAATCTTCACCATCGTTTTCAATTGTTAAGAAATGGGCTGCTGAATTTAAACGTGGTCGTACGTCCATAAATGATGATGAACGTTCAGGTTGCCCAAAAACCGCTACGACTGATAAAATCATAGAAAAAATTCATAATGTTGAATGATCGATGAGCAAAAATGCGTGAGCTTGCTAACACTGCAAACATCTCAAATGATCGCGTTCACAACATCTTACACGAGCATTTACATATGAAAAAGCTTTCAGCGCGATGAGTGCCGCGTTTGCTAACAGTCGATCAAAAACGCATTCAAATGAACGTTTCTAAGGAATGTTTGGACATGTTTAAACGCAATCCAACCGATTTTTTACGGCGCTTTATCACTGTTAATGAAACATGGATTCACCATGTAACGATGCAGCATGCATCGTTACGGCTACGGATTAAACATCGTCCGTAGCCAAAAAAAGGCACATCGAGCGCCGATGAACACTCTTAATAAACACCGGCGGTCAATCGCCGGACGGTCCCCACAACCGACCGTTTCGAAAAATTACCAGGTGGGGGT